GGCATTCAACTTATTTCCCTGCATGGAGACAGCCGCCTGAGCAAGTAACAGGTCAGATCTGTGGAGACGTTTCACAGTATTATTTATTTATTTATTCCATTGTGGGTGTTTCAGTTGCCTATGAAAAATATGCATTGGGTCACCTCTCCACAGATCTGACCTGTTACTTGCTCAGGCGGCTGTCTCCATGCAGGGAAATAATAAGTTGAATGCCAGACTGTGGAACATTCTAGGTAAAGCAATAACATCTCCATGGAGACAGGCTGGTGGGGACACTAAACCAGAAAAGTTACAGGTCAGATCTGTGGAGAGGTGACCCAATGCATATTTTTCATAGGCAACTGAAACACCCACAGTGGAATAAATAAATAAATATATAATACTGTGAAACATAGGACTGGGTATCGTTAAGAAGTTACCGATATGATACATATCTCGATACATAGGCCACGATACGATACGCTTTTCTATACAGTGAGCTTTCGATTCAATACGATTCGATACAATATATTTCACATTGATTCGATACGGTACAGTGTAAAAAAGGCTAAATGATGGCTCTAATACTAAAAGTCCACTAAGTTTGTGAAAAGTGAATGTGAAAAACATCCATTTTACTCAAAACAGTGAAAATGTCAACACACCTGTAGCTCTTACACAAACTAATTTAGTGAAAATATACCTAAAATACTCTTGACGATATATCGATACAGCAGCCCACAATATCGATACTGTATCAGCACATTAAACGATACGATATATCGATATTTTGATATTTTTACACACCCCTAGTGAAACGTCTCCGTGATGACAGCACCAGAAAAGTTCCATCATGCACCTTTACTAATCAGGCGTAAGTAATGATTTCACTTGTAGTTTCTTTGACCATCTCCTTTATGTACCAAAGGGAGTTCATAATTACAGTGATCATAGCTTAGTGCTAAAAATAAAAACACTTTTGCCACCTCTTTAGGCGTAATGGTTAACTCGCCATTTTCTTTCAAGGTAACTTCAGTCTCCCTCTTTACAAGTGAAATTACAGGCGCGTGAGTTATTCAAGCCTTAACTGCACTTACCCTGAGGTCACCTTGGCCTGCCTGTCTACCTCTCTATCTAATCTTTTCAGGTGGAATATATTTTCTTAGTAACGTTTTGAGACCTCCTTTCTCCGCATGAGCTCCAGTGCTTTTCTGTCAGGGCTATTATTAGCAGTGCACGGGTGTGAGGGTGAAAACACACACATTCATAGGTACAAAGCTAAAGGCACTTTTCAAAGCCTGCTCCGTTTCTACAAGCTCTAATCCCAACCAGCCCTCGTGCAAAGAGAGCAATGAAAAAGTATTGATTTGTCCTCAGGTTTAGCTTAGGCGCAGAGTCAGTCGCCTTCTATAGTTCTTTCTCCAATAAAACTACATATAAAACTGCGATAAGGCGCCCGCTGACCTTGACCGGAGCCTTTTCTGTCCAGGCGATACTGTTGCTAATTTGTCAGCAGTTTGCGTACAGATGTGCAGTGAGCTCGTATCGGGCAAAAGAAAGTGCAGCTGAAACACTTTACACGAGCTCTTAGCAGCAGAGTGTGTACACTTACGGGCAAAGATTGTAAACGCTTATAAACTCCAGGATCCTCGCACTGGGAATGTAAAATGAGGTGAAATTGAACTTTTCCTCTGGGGCGGCAGAGATGTTTTATTCTGCTGATGTATTTGAAGAAGGCATATGTTGTTTTCTCCAGTGTTTAATGTAAAACTATAGCATTACTTTACATTTTGTTCACTGTTTATTCCAGTTCAAAAATTTACTCAATCATTTACTTGTTTTTATTGTTGAAAAAACTACCCTGTGTGTATGTATGTATGTATGTATGTATGTATGTATGTATGTATGTATGTATGTATGTATGTGTGTATGTATGTATGTATGTATGTATGTATGTATGTATGTATGTGTGTATGTATGTATGTATGTATGTATGTATGTATGTATGTATGTATGTATGTATGTATGTATGTATGTATGTATGTGTGTATGTATGTATGTATGTATGTATGTATGTGTATGTATGTATGTATGTATGTATGTATGTATGTTGTATGTATGTATGTATGTATGTATGTATGTATGTATGTATGTGTATGTATGTATGTATGTATGTATGTATGTATGTATGTATGTATGTATGTATGTATGTATGTATGTATGTATGTATGTATGTATGTATGTGTGTATGTATGTATGTATGTGTGTGTATGTATGTATGTATGTATGTATGTATGTATGTATGTGTATGTATGTATGTATGTATGTGTATGTATGTATGTATGTATGTATGTATGTGTGTATGTATGTGTATGTATATGTATGTATGTATGTGTATGTATGTATGTATGTATGTATGTATGTATGTATGTATGTATGTATGTGTATGTATGTATGTGTATGTATGTGTGTATGTATGTATGTATGTATGTGTGTATGTATGTGTATGTATGTATGTATGTATGTATGTATGTGTGTATGTATGTATGTGTATGTGTATGTATGTATGTATGTATGTATGTTGTATGTATGTGTGTATGTATGTATGTATGTATGTATGTATGTATGTATGTATGTATGTATGTATGTATGTATGTATGTATGTATGTATGTATGTATGTATGTATGTATGTATGTGTGTATGTATGTATGTATGTATGTATGTATGTATGTATGTATGTATGTATGGTGGTGGTGTGAGGTAGCCTTCTTTCATCAGCTGGTTTCACTTTGTGGAAACTGACCTCGCAGCATTAGAATTTGTTTGCTCGACAGTAAGCGAGTACTTTTTTTATTTAACCAATCGCTGCTATTTGGTCGTGAAGTATGAAGTATGTAATGCACCGCAAATGGGACTAACTGGTATATTAAGCTTTTCCCAAATCCTGTAGGAAGAAGGGCAATAATGTCTTTCCCCTTGATAAAATTCACCAAACATTCTCTTTGTTCCGGCTTTAAATCCTCGATCTCAGAATCGTTGCCAACACAGAATATATGGCTCTTCACTGATGGCTCGTGCTCGCATTTCCAGGGTTTTTGCAAACTAGACTACAAACTAATCTATTGTTTTCCGATCGCTGGAGAGAAAAGAAATTGAGCGAAGGTACTAGCTAAGTGTGAGGGGCTGATGGTGCAGATTGGCAGCCTTGTTTCTGGCACTCTGCCCTAGGACAGCTGTAACTACAGTGGGTTTCACTGTAGAAGTGCTTTGAGTATCTTGAAAGGTGTTATGTAAATCCAGTGGTTAGTAAGACCCAGAATATGGTTTTAACTTTCTATTTGAATTGAATCATGCAGGTGATGTTTCACTGCCAAACATTTACACATTCTCTCTCATGTAATGTCTCTTCTTAATTTTATTTATTTTTTAATTCCATGATGATTCTTTATGTTTTGATTTGTTTGTATTGTGATTTTAATGTATTTCTTAAAGCACTTTGAATACTTAAAAAAAATCAAGTAAAAGTGGCACGGTGGCTGAATGGTTAGCACTCATGTCTCACAGCAAGAAGGTTCCGGGTTTGATCCCCGGGTCACCTGGGCCTGTCTGTGTGGAGTTTGCATGTTTCTCCCTGTGTTTGGATGGGTTTCCTCTGGGCGCTCCAGGTTTCCCCCATCAACCTAAAACATGCTCCATAAGTCTCCAGGAAGAACAGTTGATAGTCAGGGTCAGTTAATTACAGTCAGTCAATGAACCTGCTCAGGGACGACAGGTGGAAATTAGCACTGGTGCTACAACCTGGTACAATGCATCTCTCCTGTTAAGGTTAATGTGAAAATTGTGTGCTGTCTAATTAAATAAAGAAGAAGAAAACTTTCTTGCCAAGATTAGAATTATTTACATATGAGAAGAGGCAACATTTGGCTTTTTCAGCAGCCAAAATACCCTGTACTTCATGTATTCATAGAAGGCAAGGCAAGGCAAGTTTATTTGTATAGCACAATTCATACACAAAGTAATTCAAAGTGCTTTACAGAATAAGAAATACATTAAAATCATAATAAAAACAAATCAAAACATAAATAATTATGAAGATTAAAATTAACAAAGAGAGACATAAATTGGAGAGAAGAGTGCGGAATGAAAACCTTTCAGTTATATGCACAGTTAAACAGAAATGTTTTGAGCCTGGATTTAAACAGCGTCACAGAAGAGTCTGTCTCACATGTTCAGGAAGACTGTTCCAGGTTTTAGCTGCATGAACCTGAAACGCTGACTCCCCTTGTTTAGTCCTGACTCTGGGCACCAGCAGGAGGCCGGTCCCTGAGGTCCTCAGAGTGTGAGATGGTTCATATGACACTAACATGTCACAGATGGACTTTGGTGCTCGGCCATGGAGAGACTTGTACACAAGCAGAGCTGCTTTAAAGTCTATTCTCTGAGGCACAGGAAGCCAGTGCAGAGACCTGAGCACAGGACTTATGTGCTCGTACTTCCTAGTTTGAGTCAGGACCCGAGCTGCAGCGTTCTGGATGTTCTGCAGCGTCTCACAGCTCGTTTGGAGAGACCAGTGAGCAGAACATTACATTAGTCTAATCAACTGGAGACAAACGCATGGATAAGTTTCTCCAAGTCTGATTTAGACAGTAAACCTTTGATTTTTGCTATGTTTTTTAGATGGTAAAAGGCTGCAGATGTTATTGATTTGATGTGGCTGTTAAAGTTCAAGTCTGAGTCCATTATTACCCCTAGATTTCTTGCCTGATTTGAAGGTTTTAGAGAGAGAGACTGGAGGTGACTGCTGACACTGTCCCTTTGTTTCTGTGGACCAAACACTATGACTTCAGTCTTGTCAGAGTTTAGCTGGAGAAAGTTGTTTTGCATCCACACACTGATCTGTTGGATGCAGTGACGTAGAAGAAGAAGAAGAAAATGAATGAAAGATTCTTGAATGGAAATACTTTTTTGGTGTATACTGTAGTAACTGAAATCTCTCTCTCTCTCTCTGTGTGTCCTCCAGCACAAGCGGTGTATCCCAGCATCCCTCGAGGCCTACTACGCCGCGCAGGATGCCAACTCCAGGGGGCGCTTCTACACAGTGATCAGCCACTACAGCATGGCCAAGCAGACCACCTCGCACTCCGTCTCCCCCTGGCTGCCCGGAGGAGGCGCAGTAGGCGGCCATCACGACTCCAAGCCCCCCAGCGGAGAGGGCCACTGAGTTAGCTCCGACGCTAACCACGCTAATTCACATCTAGACATATAAAACATTTAGGTTTAGGAATAAACACATGGACATGCTAGCTGCAGATGGTATATAGTGAAACATGCATGCAGACATTAACACCAACACATGACTTATTAACTATGATTTTCAATGCTAATTTCCTACATCAATTGATAGCAATATTGTGGAAATTTCTTATATTTATGAATCAAAATGTTTAAATTGTTCCGCTACACAAAACAAAATATTTTACTTTAAAGATTGAACATTATAAACAGAAGTAGTATTATTTTGTTAAATCATTATCACACTTAAAAAAATAAACACTAAACACATGCCTAGATAAAAATATAATAGGCTAATGCTGTTATTTCCTATAGACATTTCCTAAATAAATTTCAAGGCACCACAATATTCCTATTTGTTAATGTACGTCTGGATGGGGAATTATCAGTGTCAACACAACTCACTATGGTCATTACAACCTTATTTTATTTATTTATTGACTGCCATAATATATTTATTTTGTACTGTTGTATATGGGTGTTTTGTAAGTCAGTATCAGCCAAATGTTTGTACAATTTCACATGAAAACGCTTTGGAACATTTTGTGAAGATATATTTTTTTTTGCCATTTTGGTGCAGCCATTGTCTAAGGATTTCTTAACGGAGTAGGATTTTCCATAGCTCATGTCCACGTTGCTGTGCTGTGCATTTTAAACCAGACGTCCCCCAGTGACCCCCCTCCCCCCCCCTCCGCTGTACATAGGCCCTTACGCTCGTTTCTTGTGTGTATGCATCGTAGTAGTTTTTCCTTTGTGTTGACGTGACGACATGCATTTAGCTTTAGCGGTTTTGTAGCTCAATAATGTGTACAGTGATATCAGATTAACACGCGATGGGAAAGAGATGCGTATATGACTGTTTGAGCAACTTTTTCAGCTTTGGTTATGTTATGTTTGTAGGCTTTGACAGAGTTTTAGGGCCACGAAACGTTTTTAAAAAGTACATCAAATAAATATAACCCCTACTAGTATACCGCTTTTTTTTTTGGTTTGTTTTTGTTTTTACTAGTACTGCTTATTTATTTATTTGTTTCTTTTGGACAGGGTACAAACATAGCAGAGCTCGCACCTGATGTGATGCATAGAGTGTAGCTAGTGCTATTTTTGAGCTCACATCCCCACTAGAAGTATTCTTTTTGGTTTTAGCGGTAGTGACGTGCATAAGAAAATATAGTACAGTATAGCATATAGTGGAAATGAAAAGGTTTTAGAATAACTTTAGAGACATCAGTACCAGTGCAGACAACCACTGAATTAGGGCTGTAGTCCTTTAGTCAGTTATTTTATTTAGATTATGAGGATTTATCTGGGACAACACAAAATTAGTGAGTGAAATATTTGAAGATGTGGTATTTATTGGTATTTTTATGTCGAGAGGTAACTCATGATCCACAAGTTTAATCTGTCTTTATATAAATACATTCTCTCCTCGTACACTTAACAGAGGTGGGGACCTGCAAGTTGTGACTTAGACTTGAGTGTTTTTAGGACTTGAGACTTGTCTTGATAAAACGGACTAAGACTTGGGACTCGATTTTGACTTGAAGGTCAGTGACTTGGGACTTGACGCAGACTTGATGCTTTTCCTAAAAAATATATGTTTTTAGAAAATACTTTTCTCTTTACAGTTGATAAATGCGGTGATTCATTTTACAGGAACAAACTAGATCATGTCCCTCCCACTTCTCTGTTTGTTACTCTGGTTGTAACTGAAGTACTGTGATATGGTATAATCAAATGTACTACAGTAATAGTATAACACAGTATAATACAGTAATATACAGCAGGGGTTCTTAACCTTTTTAATCATGGGGCCAACTTTTTCTGAACAAAGTAACCTGGGGCCCTATTTCATATTAAATGCATTATATTGTACTGACTATAGGGGCCCCAAGGAGGTGGTCCCAGCCCTACTTTTGGCCCTAGGGTTAAGAATCACTGATATCAGCACAATACAGTAAAACAGAAGGAACTACAGAGAACATGATCCTTCCATTTCAGTGCAGACTACACGACAAAATAACTTATTTTAAATCTTAATTCTTTCTATTCTGACTGTAATGTTTCACACTTAGATCTTGTCAAAACATTTAAGAAGGAGAATTTAGCATTTCTACAACTCTTATATAAATATACCATGACGTTTTAAGTACAATGTAGCTTAAAAGTCATATAAATTGCAAAAATCTAAGCTATATTTGGTACTTTGGTTTGAAGACTTGACATGACTCGAAGCTCAAAGCAGACGACTTGGACTTGACTTGGACTTGTGGGCCAGTGACTCGAGACTCGACTTGGACTTGCCTGTCTTTGACTCGGACTTGAGGTCAAATACTTGAGACTTGAGACTTGCAAAACAACGACTTGGTCCCACCTCTGATACCTAGTACTTTTTTCCTGCATAAATAGTATTTTTGCATAAATTCCCATGCAGGTGTAGTAACTTTTGAGTACAGTTTGGGTCAGATACATAGAGATAAGTAATAGTTTTAGAGCATTTACCACATATACTTTTTAGATCCTCAAAGTATTTATTGAATCGACCCCAGCCCTACATCTGTGTCACATTGCTTGTCAGTTTTATGCGTATCTTTACATCGCACGTATTATCTTTATAAAACTATTCCCATTGAAGAATACTAATTACAAATCCCCATGACAACACAGTTTTCTGATTTGTTTGCTTCTGGCCCTAAACCTCTGTCTGTGATCCTATCTGCAGTAGACTTGAGTCCAGTACAGTCCCTGGCGCCTTTCTGTTGTCTGTTGTCAGCTTTGATCAGATATCGTGACGCTGTTAGTTGAAATGTAGCGATAACCCTGTGTATTTTCAATGTGTCCCTTTTCTCTTGGTTTGAATTGAGAATAAAACAGTTGTGGCCCCGTGCTTCTGCGTCTGTCATTCTGATTCCACCACGGCGCTGAGTTAAAAAGCCTCAGGTAGAAGATGAGTGACAACAAGAGACGTTATGCAGATGATTCAGATGCTCACTACACTCACACGCAGTGGGGTAGACTCAACAGGCTGCCGCTAAAAAGTACTTTGTGCACAGATTATCATGAAATATCAAATCCTACAGTTGAGGTTTGAATGGAAATGCAGTAAAAGTGTGACTGTGTTGTTGGCAAGGCTGTCAAAAGTCTTATATGACGCAAAATGTACTCCTGTGACCTTTAAGCCCTGTTAGAATGTTATTACTTCATAAAAAACATACCCAGTGTTTTGTTTCATTCACACACGTTTAGAGAAATCCTGCTTTATTAGTCTGTGGACATTTCCAAAGCTTAAAATGGTCTCTTCTACCTTGTGATGTCATCAAGTGGTAGTTTTCAAGTTAACAGCTATCTTTTATCTTTTATTCAGAATAGATTGACCATTCCAGGGCTGAAATTATGTGATTCTATTACCACATGACATCACAAGTTGGAACAGTGTGTTTTTAGTTTGAGAGAAAACCTCAGCCTATAAATATGCAGAGTTTGTGTGTTAAACGTGTGTGAATGAAACAAAACACAACTCCAGGTACACAGCAAAAAGTGGAGTGTTAAAACTGACTCTCACAGAATCAATTTAACATTTTCTGAGGGTTTATATGACTCCAATCTGTTTTAGCGTTAATTAAAAATATTTCTGGATATGTTAATTAAGTAACACTGGACCAAAGTTTTGGTTTAACCCACAAATCAAGACTTATAATGTTTTGAGAGTAAACAGACAACACTTTGTAGCGTTGTAGCGTTACTTCCTGATACAAACTTGGCAGCGGCGGACTGATATATGAGAAAATAGTCCCTCAACATGCGACGATTCATGCGATGCAAGGTTAGTTTTATTTCAAACATTATTCTGTCAACACAGACGTTTACATGGACAGTCTGGTGTAATAATAGATTTGCTTCGGGTGTTTTGTGGAGTGGGTAAGACTGTTTTTAGTGGCAGGATAACTATGGCCATTGACATGCACTAGTCTAGCACCAGCGACCTCTGCAAATACAAGGACTGGATGGAATACTTAAAAAGTAAAAAAAAGCACTCTGGCTCACTAGGAAATGAGGTTCTATGTCAAAAATTCCAAACTGTCTCTTTAAACAATATGATATATTTCAATATTTCTGCATACCCACTTCAGTGTACCTGTACCACCTGTATGAGGGAATGCCCCGAGATGGCTTCCCTCTCGTCCTTGGACACGAGGCAGCCGGAGTCGTGGAAAGTGTCGGCTCCGGAGTCACGGAATACAAACCTGGTCAGATATAATAATATATTGCATTGTTTTGACTTTAAAGATGCACTATTTAACTTTATGGTCCTTTTTGGTCCGTCATCTGCTTGTTTTTATGGACATGTCATTGCCTTGGCTAGAATGTTCCACAGTATGACATTAAACAGCTCTACTTTACAGTTATTCAGTTACAGGTGGTTTTATTGCTCAAAAATACCTAGAAAACCAGGCTTTCTGACTGTGATTGGGGTCACCTCTCCACAGATCTGACCTGTAACTTAGTCCGGTTTGGTCTCCGTGAAGATAGAAACCTTTAATTTACTGTGAAACATTCTGGAAAAAGCAACGACATCAGCACAAAAAAAAAGCATTTGACGGACCTGAAAAGTTTCACAATGAACTCACCTTTAAGTAAAAATCAATTAGGTGTTATCGATGTGAGATGTCAGAAAGTGCGAGGCTTTTATTAAGTTGCAGAGCTCACTTCTTCTTCTTCTTCTTTATGCCTTAATCTTTATACCTTCTTTTCACAGCAGGTTCATTCTCTTCTCTGTAATAGAGCTTTAATTTGTCCAGCCTGACCGCCCTCGTCCTGTTACCGAGTCCTGCCCACAATCAGATGGAGTCCAACGCCGCACACGTCCCTTTGTGTCCCTCTAATTACTCCTGCAAATGACCTGGAGCCTCTCATTCACGTGAACCTGCC